ACCAACCTGCCAGTGGTTAGCCTTCCTTGCCCCCATAAAGAAAAATTACTATTTAAAAAATGGCAGTTGAGTTTAGAAAATAGACATTGTGTTGGGTTCTTTTTCTTTGAAGATATCAATGCATTGCCCAAATTGCATTTGACTTTATTTCACAGATAATGAAGCAATGTGTAAAGTGTGTGATACAGAAAGAGAGATGGGTTAAACAAATGTGTGATGCAGGCCAGATGTGGTGGCTCATGCCTGTAACTCCTAGCACTTTGGGAGGCTGTGGCCTGGTGGATCCCGAGATCAGGAGTTCGAGACCAGTCTGGCCAACATAGCAAAACCCCATCTCTACTAAAAATAGAAGAAATTAGGCGGGCGTGGTGGTGGGCACCTGTAATTCCAGCTACTCAGGACGCTGGGGCAGGAGAATTGCTTGAACCCAGGAGGTGGAGGTTGCAGTGGCAGGAGAATTGCTTGAACCCAGGAGGTGGAGGTTGCAGTGAGCCGAGATCACGCCATTGTACTCCAACCCGGGCGATAATGCAAGACTCCGTCTCAAAAAAAAAAAAAAAAAAAAAGAAAAAGAAAAAGAAAAAAATGTATAAATAAGAATGTGTAGTGTAGATATGGATGTTTTTAAATAAAAACTTAATGAAGGGCATTATTTATGAAAGTGTTCATGTGCATGTGCTTTGAGAGAAGGAACTCAGGTGCCAAGGAGAGAAGTTAGGAGTCGGTTTTAATAATTCAGCAAGTGATGTTTATAGAAATGGAGAAAGGGTGTAGAAAACACTTTTTGGGTTGTTATCCAACTCTCCCTGTCTGTGGGACCTGCCCCATATTTGTACAATGGACCCCACTCTTCTGGCTGGAGGTCATTAGACCAGAGAAGGGCACCAAAGTCTGCAGGGCCAGAACCCCTACACAGGGATTTAGAATTGAAGCTAACAGGTTTCAGTCTCACTCGGGGCTGGGTTCTTCAGTGGAGGTGCAAACTCCTGGGAGCTTTGGAGAGAAGCCCTTTCCTACTGTGTGAAACCAGTAGTTGAGAATGCGTGTCCACGGAGAAATATAAGTAAATATAGATCAAAACAAATGCAAAGAAATGATAAAAGTGTAAGCATAAAGTAATATAATCGTATTTTAAAGCTAACATGAGGCCAGGCTCGGTGACTCACACCTGTAATGCCAGCACTTTGGGAGGCGGAGGCGGGTGGATCACGACGTCAGGAGATAGAGACCACCGTGGCTAACACGGTGAAACCACATCTCTACTAAAAAAAATACAAAAAATTAGCCGCGCATGGTGGCGGGCGCCTATAGTCCCAGCTACTCGGGCAGCTGAGGCAGGAGAATGGTGTGAACCCACGAGGTGGAGCTTGCAGTGAGCCGAGATCACACCACTGCACTCCAGCCTGGGCGACAGAAGGAGACTCCGTCTGAGGGGGGGGAAAAAAAAAGCTAACTTGAAAATTGCAGTCCCTATAATCCTACTTCCTAGATCGAATTGGTGATCTTGCACTTTTAGTGTCATTTTCTGTCAATCACAGTTATATGTATCCCAATGTAATACATATATTACCTATTAACATGAAAAATTTTAAGCACAAAGAAATTTAAAGGAAATATGCTCATCTATGAATATAAAGCCACCATCTAGATTTATCAATTAATATTTTGCAGTGTTTAATTTTTTTACTGTAGTTTGAAGTAAATAACTTTAAACTCTTCATCCCTAAATACTTTAGAATGCATCTTTTTTAAAAAGAAGCAGTTCTTTTACAGTATAATCACACAATTTTCACAAGTAATAGTGCTTTCTAAATGTTGTCTAATAACCAGACTATATTCACATTTCCCTTTTTGATCCCCAAAAATGTCTTTGAGAGCTGGTTTGTTTAAATAGCGTTCTAATTAAGAAGCATAGGTTGCATTTCATTGTTTGTCTCTAAGCTTTTTAAAAATCAAGTGTAGGCCAGGCGCGGTGGCTCAAGCCTGTAATCCCAGCACTTTGGGAGGCCGAGACGGGCGGATCACGAGGTCAGGAGATCCAGACCATCCTGGCTAACACGGTGAAACCCCGTCTCTACTAAAA